TGCCCAGCCCATCTCCAACTGTCTCGACTTTTGTCCTGCTATTGGAACAAGATGGAATCTGGGAAGAGAGTGAGGCTGACTATGCGCACCTCTCCCTCACTTTAATCCAATCCACGCGCAAGTCTTGACATCTTGACTTTCCCTATAAGATGTCAAGGTCTTCATCGAAATCGATGGACAAACAACAAACTGTTGTACGTCAAGGGCTACCTGTACACATTAGCAATTGCTGCATAGTTGTGTTATAATATACATTACATTTAGTCTCAACAATTAAAAAATGCATATTTAATAAAACACCCATATTACAAAGTTTATGCCCATCTGGACAAGTGAAATTCTATCTATTGAACAAAATCTTTTAAACTGTGAATTTTATTCTGATTTGAGACAAAGGAAGCTTCTGCCCTTTATTAAAATATTCCCTGATGAATATCAGATGAATGATATATAAATCAGCTGTCAGCAGTTAGACACCTGTGAACCACGAAGTTTGCAACATTTGTGTTATAGTACTTATAAATGTGTACAAGATTGGCACTCCAGGACATATCAGACTCACTATAAATGTATTAAATTATGTGAATGTCTATGATTGCGGTTGTTTGATGTAATTTTGATCTGAGCCCAAATAACTGTAATTGCATAACTGTATAATATAATCCATGTGAATAAAAATCCAAAAGCTCAATCTGACTTAGTTTTAGAATGTTTAGATTCTATAGAAAGTTCAAGGTTTGCTTCTTAGGAAGACAGAACTTTAATTAATGCATTATTCTTGTATGAAGAATTTGTGAAAAGCAATCTAGAGACCGCAAAAAAAAAAAAAAAATTCCATGACTGAAGAGCGAATCATCATTAAGGCTGCTTCAAGAAACGCATGTGTAATCCACGCACTTGCCACTCAGCAAAGTGGATATAAATGAGGCTGCCAAATCAGCATCTTGTGATGTGGCTAAATGGAGTCCGAATTGCACAACTCCTTTTTTTTCTGGAAGCACAAAGAGCTTCCCTGGTTCCCGAGTCCAACCCCTCCCCTCAGTGTTGTGCAACCCACGCGATACAGCTAGTGCGGTGGAAAAAGCAGACCCGAGGAAGAAAACGACGCGCCCTCCAGAGAAGGGGTGGTTTCCCACGTTGAAAAGGAAGTGACGCCTGCTCAGGGTTCCCGGAAGCGCCTTGCTTCTGTATGCGAAAAAAGTGTTTTCACTGGTTTAGGCAAGTGGTGGGACTCCGTGAGAGCGGAAGGTAAAGAGTGGTCTCGAAGTATGGTACGTGGGAGAGGGAAGTCGCGTGGTATCCACCGAGCGAGAATGGGAATTATAGTGGCTCGACTCCAAGTTCTCTACGTCGCAGGTTTTCGGGAAAATCTGGGAAGTAAAGCTGCACTCCCCCGCACACCCCAGTTAAGCGGACGAGTAGAGATCTCAGCCGTTTGCATCCCGTTAACTTCGTCATCCCGTGTTGGTTTTCTCGGGGGTAAATCCTGAGGGTCCAGGGAAGGTTTTCTGAGCTAGACTGGAGCGGTGTTGAAAGGATTGGGGCTTTTGAGCAGGGAGGATCCCCAAATTATTCCTCCGACTCGTTGAGGGGGTGGGGAGCAGGGAACTTTCCCAATAGGGAAAGTGAAATCCTGGCCCTGCTTTAGGAGAGGATCAGGAGCGAGTGAAGACGTGTAAAATCAAGTGCTTTAAACCGTTTGCTAGAGCAACTAACAAATGGGAGGAGACGTCAGCGTTTCCAATAAGTGGCAGATCGTTAGTTTGGAGGAATGCCAGGTCTCCTCAGAAGTTTGCTTTGAGAACTTATTGGAGAGAAAAAAACCTTACAAAATAGACTAAATTAGAAATCCGGAGATCTCAGATTTTAATTTCACCTTTCTTTCACACAAACTGTTACATCAGCCTTCATATAGAGACTATTGTATGTTAAGATAATTCTGGGCATCATAGCTAAGAATATCTGTGCTTGAATTGCCTTTGGATTTAAAGAAGGAATCCCTGAAGAGTTACGTTTTTAAAGGACCATTTATAATAGGAATTGTAATTTAAGTTTTTAAGGGTTTATTTGGTTGATGCATGATTACATTAGTGTTTGTCATAAGATAGGGTAACAAAAGAATATAATAAATACATTAATTGGATGTACAAGGATTTTTACAATATTTCTGGGGTGAACTTGTTTCCTCAAATTTCTGTCATAGCTACTTAGAATTTTGAATCTAAGCTACACCTGGAATCTTTTTCTGGCTTTTTGCAGGGAGGACTTTGGAGTGAGAGGATTGTTGTTATTTTTAGCTGTTCAGAAATGTTGTTTAACTTATTTTAGACTTCAATAAAACTATTTTATGGGTTTTACATCTTAGGAAAGAGCAGGGAAAAAAATCAGTAATATAATTGAGAAGATCTGAGGTTGCAAAAAAAAACCCACCCCTGTTTTAGTCTCTGTATGTGGCTTTGAACCACAGATTACTCACTCTTTATTTTAACACTCTCCTGAACATATAAGAAGAAACCCTTACCAATATGCTGAAAACCAAGTATTAGTGAGTTGAATTGCCTTCTACCCTTCACATAATCTTATATTATGGTGTACAATGAAGGAATTTGCTGATATCTTCTTTCTCTTTCTGTTCCAGGCTACATTTTATCTTCAGACAGTAATTTGGTCACCTGTACCTCCTTCCTAATAACTGCTGCTGTGCCCCCTCCGTAAACCCTGCTATGTGGTTGTATATTTGTTGAATATTTTTCCATATTGGGGGGGCAGGAAAGGTGAGACAGAGTTTAAGGACAACTTCCCCTCCTTTGCATAAAGTTCTCATGGAATGTTTGGTGTAGAGCAAATAACTATATGAGGGTCAGTAACAGTTTTGGAAAAGAAGGTCAGGGTAGGAAAAGAAGCAGCCTTTGCCAGTGGATAAATGATGAAAGGGGGGTTGACATAGGAAGGTGCAAAAATAAAAGATGCGAGGAGCTGTTAAGGTAGGATGAAGATAGGGACCTTTTTCACTTTTGTATCCTCATGGGGGAAAAATCTATTAATAGTTATGTCTTGTGAACTTTATCCATCTTAACAAGAGGTGTAGCCAGAGTTACATGTAAGTGAAAGTTTTATTTCTCTCCCCTTTTTCTGTTTGATATTCACCAGCCCTCTCCCCCATCTCTATATCATTCGTTTCCAATCCAGTGGGAAAGGCAAACATTCCATGTTTGTGATTTGCTTACTTGCTGAGTTCTTTGAAATTTAGTTGAAAGTACAGTTTCCTCATCATTGGCATAGAACAGGGGTTTCTAAAATGGCCTTATCACAAGCAGAGTATGAAGAAACAACTCATTTCTGCTATTGCTCCCAGCAACTAGAATGCACTGAAGTGCTGCTCCAAATATGGATATTCCATGGAGGTTATGGATAAGAGCTGTTGATCTGTTCTCAGTAAATCTGGCTTATCTTCTTTTAATTCTTTTAATTCAGAAAGTAGCTACTTTCAATCCATGTGACAATAGTTTCCCTATGTTATTTGCAGAATTGGTTATTTGAGGGTGCACTTGGGTGCATACGGACACTTTTTTCTATCAGGCAGGGGAACACAACTTTTGAGGTAAAGTACTTTTCCCAGGACAAGACGGAGAATGGTAGGACTTTTGTCTTTCCCAAGGAAATGAAAGAGGACTTAAGAAGCTGAGCTCGAAGGAACTGTTTTTTTGTCTGATTCCAAAGCTAGCTATATAATGCTGCTGTGGCTCATGCCCTGAGATGGCCAAAACAGGCACTGATGAACCTCAGTTATCACAAGGTAAGCTTAATAAAATCCACCAGATGGCCCACTGCTGAACAAGTAGGAAAAGCTTTTCAGAGTTTAATCTTCTTCTTCTTCTTCTTCTTCTTCTTCTTCTTCTTCTTCTTCTTCTTCTTCTTCTTCTTCTTCTTCTTCTTCTTCTTCTTCTTCTTCTTCTTCTTCTTCTTCTTCTTCTTCTTCTTCTTCTTCTTCTTCTTCTTCTTCTTCTTCTTCTTCTTCTTCTTCTTCTTCCTCCTACTACCTCTTACCTACTACCTCCTACCTCTTCTTACCTCCTACCACCTCCTTCTCCTTCAAAGAAACAGAGCCAACTTCACAGGTCAAAAAAGAATGGTCAGTGGCAAAGACAGAATCCCAGAACACAGTGAAAATTGAAGTAATTTGCACAGATGATGGCGAAAGTTCTACGCACAGCACTGGTGAGCAAAAGAATTGATTCAGCAACCTGAAGTATATTAGAAAGGGGAATATTATTAAAGAAATTACAGGTAGTCCCGAGTTACTACTGTAATGAGCATGCCCATCACAGTTTTAACTTATGATAGTCATAAATCAGGATACCCACAAGACAGACCTGATTTTACAACTTTTTTTGCAGCGACCCTTAAGTGACTGCCATTAAGTAAAGCAATGGTTTACTATGGGCCCGGTTTTGCTGAAAACTGGAATTAAATGAGAATTTTTGCAAAAGCATAAAATGTGGTTGCATGACTGCAAGATGCTGTAAACAGCTGTAGATGTTGCTGAGCATCTGAAGTACGGTCATGGGGTTGTGGAGAGAGGGTCCGTCATAACTTCAAACAGTTCCCAAGTGAGCAATCATAAATCAAGGACTGCCTGAATAGGTGTTGTAAGGATTTGGAGCAAAAGTCCATGGGTTGTTATGTTTTAAATGTTTGTATGTTGCTTTTCAGTAGGGAAATTTGAAGAAAAGGACTAGTTTGTGTGAAAGAATAAGCCAGACTCCTGTGAATTATTTTAGGGATAAAGTACTTATGCAGCCTGTCCCAACTGATTATTTTTCTATCCAGTAGAAATGACTAATCAGTTATATGGTATGGGGTGACCAAAAGGACAAACTCTTTTCATGTTGAGGCATCACTCTCAAAAATAATCGGTTTGGTCAAAAATGAAAATTGATTAATACTTAATTAAATTGGTTAATTAGTTCACTTACTATAATTTCTAGATTGTCCATTATTGCCTTATTAAAAATTATAATTCATATGTGGCAACATATGGAGATGCTACAAAGATTGCACTCAAGACGTTCGGGAACTGAAAGAAGCAGATAATAACCACATATTTTTACAGGAACATAGAAGCCACAGACCACTAAAAACCATCAAAGCACTTTCAACATAATATAAAAGCCTAGGAGAACTGAAGAAGTGTTTTTGAAGATTGTCTAGTTTGGTACCAAACAATTGAATAAATGGAAGGAGATCCAGGATCACAGCTGTTTACATGAAGAGTCTAATTTTGTAGCTAGCTACCACTTGAAAAAGAAGAAGAGTGGTTAAATCTGCTTGTTTAATAAGATATCAACAGGGAATATGCTGACTAGGGAATTCTGGGAGTTGAAGTCCACACATCTTAAAAGTTGCCAAGTTTGAAAAAGAGAGCTTAACACTAATCATAACAAAACAATCCCTTCCCTGTCAGCCTTATATATGTTCCATTGTGGCTCGTGATTGCATATTTTTTTAAAATGCTGCCAACTGATTGACCACTAGAGATGATAGAGGGGATAAAGAGTAAACCAAATGCACTATTTCTGCAATAGCCAGTCATGTGAGCACTTTAAAAATACTGAAATTAGTGCTTGGCAATCAAAAGTGGAGGGAATCCCCTATTTCTCGTAGAGTAATTATCTTTGGTTTTCTCTCTCTTCCTCTACAGCTGAGGAGCCAGCCCGCAAACGCAAAAAGGGACCTGCCCCCAAGATGTTGGGGGATGAAGTCTGCAGCGTGTGCGGGGACAAGGCCTCGGGTTTTCACTATAATGTCCTGAGTTGTGAGGGCTGTAAGGGCTTCTTCCGGCGCAGCCTCATCAAAGGAGCTCAGTACACCTGCAAGGGCAGTGGGCAATGCCACATGGACATGTACATGCGCCGAAAGTGTCAGGAATGCCGGTTGAAAAAATGCCGACAAGCAGGCATGCGGGAAGAATGTAAGTCGTGGAATCTTAACCACTACAACCTGTTGAGATGCAGAGCAAAGCCACTGCCTCCACCATCATGATTTCCAAGAGTGGCACTGGGCTCCTGTAGTCCTAGTGACAATTCTTAAAAAAAAAAAAAAATGATGGGTGGCTTCAGCTTAGAAGGGATTGATCTATCTGGGGGAAAAACAGAAGTAGCAGGCTAGTACAGATCGTCCTAATGGAATAAAAAAGTTGGAGGGAAGGCTGGAAGGAGATATTTTGCATATGCAAAATTTCTCCCAGAATTCTAAATGCTTCATTGACCTTTTAAAGATTGAATGCTTTAGGACAATGTTTCTCAACCTGAACAATTTTAATATGTGTGGACTTCGTCTCCCAGAATTCCCCAACTAACTGGCTAAGAAACTCTGGGAATTAAAATCTATGCATGTTAAAACTTGCTCAAGTTGAGAAACATTGCTGCAGAAATGAAGAATCTGTGGCCTACCAGATGGTGCTGAAGACTAAGTATAATAGCCAAGCCAAACAGCCAAGAGTGAGAAACGTTTGATAGGCCAAACCATCCTTATTTTTGTCAGCAAGAAACTGTCAAATTAACAAACATCAAAAAACAAACAAACCTGAAAGTGCAAAATTTTAAGTCAATAAGATGTATTTGGATTGTACTCTGAGGGTAAACAGTAATCAGGCAGAAAATAAATCTTTCTAGGCCGTGTATCCCATAGTTGAGAAAGATGGTTCTTCAGAATGCTAAGTGCATTGAAATTCTCTGTTGAACTTTTGAGATCTTCTCATTTCATGCCAGACTCCCTTTCTGTCTCCAGGTGTCCTTTCAGAAGAGCAAATCCGCAAGAAGAAGATCTCTAAACACGAGGGTGATACGGTTCCAGCTGAGGAGAGAGATGGAGATGAAGTACTTCGAGTGCCTCCATTGCTCTGTGATCCTGCTTTATCCCAGCCTGAGCCAGTTCCTCTTACCCCACAGCAGGAAGGCATGATCCAGCAGTTGGTGGCAGCCCAACAACAGTGCAACAAGAGGAGCTTTAGCGATCAGCCCAAAGTCACGGTAAGTGTGTGTATGAGAAAGAGACCTAAATTGGTTTAAAGTCCTGGCCAGTTCCAAGGCTAGGGCCTATGGCAAAGGCAAGTAATGGCCTTAATGGCTTTCTAGAGCAGCTTTCTTGTCCTAATGGTTTTACTGTGACTTCCATGATTATAAGAAGAGATTGTACAACCATTTGTCTGAAATGATATAGGGTTTCCTGAGCAAGGGGTTGGACTAGAAGACCTCCAAGGTTCTTTCCATCTCTGTTATTCTGGATAAGCCATAAAGTGCTCTGGACCAACCTCATTCCCTTTTTATTTCCTCCCTTATCTCTTATTTTTCCCATCACTTCCCAGCCCTGGCCAATGAGCAGTGACCCCAACAGCCGGGAAGCCCGCCAGCAGCGCTTTGCCCATTTTACAGAATTAGCCATCATCTCAGTGCAAGAGATTGTGGACTTTGCCAAGCAAGTACCCGGCTTCCTGCAGCTCTCGCGGGAAGACCAAATCGCTCTGCTGAAGGCTTCTACCATTGAGGTGAGCAAGGATGTTTCTTTTTCTTCCATAGCTGTAAGAGCTAAAAATCTTAAGTTGGTTAGGGCTGTTGTCCTGAGAATGTCTGTAGTAATAACTCAGTGAAATCTGGAATAGCACAAAGAAGATGGATCAGTAATAGTTCCAGTAAAAGAGGACCAGATGACAAATGATGAAAAAGATTTTCTACCAAAGGGATTTTTGCAATCTGTTGCCCTTGATACAGAGCAGCGTTTTCAACCTTGGGAGCTTGAAGATGTGTGGACTTCAACTCCCAGAATGCTGGCTGGAAAATCCTGGGAGCTGAAGTCCACACATCTTCAAGATGGCAAGACATTGATAGACACAGTATTAGATCAGCTGGGCAAATGAGTTCCTTTACTACAGTATAAACAGTCCTATTATTACAATATATGCTGCATCAAAACAAATTACACAGACATTAGCTCCTGACCCTAAAGCAAAATAGCAATAATTTATTCAGAGTTTTTAAAATAGAATTTTAAAACATGTAGCTCTGAAGTTGTATATAGACTGTTGTCTATGAAAATTAGGCTGTGCTTTAAAACGTTCGCTAAGAACATAGAGTGGATATTTATTGTTGATACTTGCTGTTGCACTATTTTTACTACTGCAATATGTACTGTATTGTGTGTTGCTTCTGCTTTTTTGAGCCTCAGAATGGAAACGGATATATTTTTTGAAAAGAAAAGAAAAAGAAAGAGAGTTTAGCTTTCCAGAGAATTAATAAGTGTATGGCATATAAAGTTATCTACCTAAACATACCATGCATGTTAGGTAATTTCTTAAAGAAGGGCAATAGCTGTTCTTTGACACTTGTTTGTCTTCTTAGATCATGTTACTGGAGACAGCCCGACGCTATAATCATGAGACTCAGTGCATTACATTTCTTAAAGATTTCACATACAGCAAGGATGACTTTCACCGTGCAGGTGAGTAAAAAGTGAATCATGATGGGGTGGGGCGGGGAAGAAATCCGCAGACAGAGGGGGAAAAAAATCAAAAGTGACCATGGAATGGTGGAGGTTACTCCCAAAAAATTCCTGGCCCACCCAAGAAGAATCAGTTGGCTGGGAGTGATGGGACTTGTGATGTAAACACATACGAGGAGAACCAGGCTTGAGAAGGTTCCCTTGACAGTATAAATACTCATGCTTCATACATAAACTTTACATTTGATAAAACTTCACAAAGAGAGGCTTTAGTTTCATGTATTAAAATGTCCAGAATGGTTATCTCGGCTTAGAGCAATGGTGGTGAACCTATGGTACGGGTGCCAGAGGCGGCACTCGGAGCCCTCTCTGTGGGCACACATGCCGTTGCCCCAGCCTTGCCTCTGCCCGTGACCCCCTCACCAACAGCCTTCCTGGAGGAGAGTCACCCCTGAGCGTGGCCCACGCGGAGCAGCGCAGCCAAGGACATGGCAGCCAGGCAGCGTAGACAAGACTCTGCCCTCACGCCCCAACACGCACAGTTGATGCTGCAGGGCGTGGGCAGAGGGTGTGGCCACCATGGTGCTGCTGGGCTGCCTGGGCGATCTGCAGCGGGCCCTGGAGGCGGTGAATGGCCCTGCAGGCAGGCAGGGTGGGGCAGAGCAGGGGCAGGGGTGGGGCCAGTTTTTCGACACTCGGTCTCTAAAAGGTTCGCCATCACTGGCTTAGAGACTCCATTCCCATATACACACAGAGAGCAAAAATCTTAGCAGTTACTTTTCTGGCATTTGGATTCTTGAAAAACGTAGCACATTATGACTCCCATTAGATACAAAATGGAGAATTGAGAACCCAGCATTTGTGAATGCTAGTTCCCACGCCATTCCAGAGAAGCTTCCTGCTGGCACAAAGTTTGTAGTCAAATCTATATATTTTGGAATAGTAAGCAGAATTACTATTTTGTCTAGAAATATATAATTTGCATTTTCCCAAAATGTGTTTTGTTTAAAGTTCCTACCCAGGTGTAGGTAGATTTTATTTTTCAAAAATATGTTTGGGAATACTACTATATTTCCAAAGGGATAAATCTCGGAGGACCAGTGATATGTTTTTGGGTGATTTATCCCTATTTCCTCTTTCACATCTCAAGTGAAAAGGGTGTCATAAAGATTACTGGGCTTTCATATTTAATGAGAGTTTCCATTTGTTTCTAATCATGCTTTTGCAGTGGTGAACCTATGAGGTGAAACTTAAATGATCTGAAAACAGCTTGGATTGTCTTTTGTATCTTCTGCATGTCTGGTCTTGATTCTGGTATCTTTATTGTGCAGTGGTTTAGTTTCTATCTTCCTTCATCTGTTAAGGAACAGTTGTTTACATGTCACATTATATAAAGATTTTTTCTGTATTGGAAGAAAGCTTGGAGGAACTTGTATTGGAGGAACTTAAAATTGTTGTTTTCACATATTTTATTTCTGCCAGAGTTACCAGAGTTACTTTCCAGTGTGCATTTGCTACCTTGGTTGTACTGTATGTTAATTTCCAAGCCTAGTTGAAAATGTTGATAGTTTAAATTCCTCCAATCTAGATTATTTATTACTAACTAATCAGCATCCTGAATTCAGTTGAAGAATTGTACCTCAGTGCTAGTCAAGATGGGCTAGTTAAGGAGAAAACACTTTTTGTAGCTGTGGCTGATTACTGAATTTTTTTAGGAAATCTGTATCAACCTATTTCTCTTGCTTCTGCCTGGGTTTTTTTTTTTTGATAGGTATTTTGCCTGCCAGATTTTCAGATTATTTTGTGCCACTAACTATGTTCAGGGTATACCACTGTCTAATGAATGTACAGTGTTATTTTCTGTTTTTAAAAAATAGTTACTCTTATAATGAATTAGCTCCTCATTTTATGGATGCATCTATAGGATGGTTTGCCATTGCCATCTTCGGTTGAGTCTTTTCAACCTTCAGGTCTATCTATAGCCCGCCGAGATTTTCAAACCTAAGTATCAATTTCTCTTATGCATTTATGCTTTGAAGCACTCATAAGCTTGAGCCCTGCAATATAGTCAAAGTGAGGTATGATAGAAATCTAAAACAAACAAAAAATACACTTGGAAGTCTGAGCATGGAAAGTTGGCTGACATCTATTTTTCCCTAATGTTTTGTTGCTCTCCCTCTCCAATCCCCTCACCCCAAAAACCAGGTCTTCAAGTTGAATTCATCAATCCTATATTTGAGTTTTCCCGGGCCATGCGAGAGTTGCAGCTGGATGATGCCGAATATGCCCTCCTCATTGCGATCAACATCTTCTCTGCTGACAGGCCCAACGTGCAGGACCATGGCCTGGTAGAGGCATTGCAGCAGCCCTACATCGAGGCCCTCAGTTCGTACATCCACCTCAATCGCCCACAGGTACTTGGGCTGGGGAAAAGAGCAGCAGTGAATGCTGAGGGACAAAAATCATAAAGCAAAGGGGATAGATTATCATCATGGATCGATGGAGGAAAAGTGATAAAAAATTCCTAGGGCCAAGGCAAATCTCATGATTTTCTTAGACTGGAAAGACCATAGTTGCCTTAAGCAAACATTATTCTGGGTTTCCCTAGTAAATCTTAGAACAGGATTGGGAAATTAATAGCCTATTATTCCATCTGCTGGACTATATCTCTCATCTCCACTGACTGTTTTTGTGCTGAGCATGGATGATAGGAGTTTAACTCAACATCTAGAGGGTTGTATTACCTAGGCATTTTTCTTTTCACCTCGATTTGGCAGAGCAAGTGATAATTCTTTGTTTGCAAGGGAGAGAGGGCTAGTTTTCTGTTCTGGCAGGAACTGCAGAGTGGAACAGTCCTTGAAGTGAAGACACAAAACCATAAGGGTATATTTTCTGAATCCCAAGGAAGTTTGCTTCAGATTAACCTTTAACATTAAGAATGCAAGTAACCACCACAGTTCTAAGCGTATTCCTTCAAAGTTGGCTGGGACTGCATAGCACACTAGATCAGACCCACTACTACATTAAAGCATAACAACAACACAAAATGTATTGAACATGTTGGGTTTAGAGGTGGAAGCAAGCCTTTTTCAGCCTTGAAGGGGTTTTTTTTGGCCAAGATTTTCTCAATATTGCAATGCAAACCATCAGTGGCAAAGTGTCAGAATTTTTGGCATGGTTTTCTTCCATGCCAGTTTAAAATAAAAAATAAATAAATGTGCTAAATCTCTGATAGATTTATTTTAGCTCTGAAACTAAAAACTTGTTCAACCCTCATTCTGATCAAATGGAAAAATGGCTTTGTTCCTGCTTTATTCGAGGATGTCACATGCAACCACAAAAATAGCAACCTTCAGAAATATTGCCCCTAGCGTTACTAACAGCTTCCAATGACTGGACTGGGAATGGCAGGGTGTGGAGACAATTCTTCTTCCTGAAACATTTTTGTATTGTGCAATTCTGTCCTGCTTTCACTAGATACTGAGTGTTAAGAGCCTGAGTAAGCCCATTTCTCCTTTGTTCCCCTTCCCAATTCTTCCGGTTCCTTTTTTCCTTTAAGTTGTATCTTAGTAAACCATGTTTCTTTCACAGGCCATGGTCAAACATATGTACTATTTTCATGTAGAAACGCTTTCAGCTAACAAGTACAGGTAGTCCATGACTTACAACCAAAATTGAGCTCAAAATTTCTATTGCTAAGCAGCATAGTTCTTAAGTGAATTTTATCCCAATTTACCACTTTTCCTGGCACAGCTGTTAAATGAATCACCGCAGTTGTTAAATTGGAATCACGACTGTTAAGCAAATCTTACCTTTCCCATTGACTTTGCTTGTCAGAAGGTCGCAAAAGGTGATCGCATGACCCAGGGACAACCGCAGCCATCGTATGTCAGTGGCCAAGCACCCAAATTTTGATCACGTGACCATGGGGATGCTGCAGTAGTTTTAAATGTGAAAAATGGTCAGGGCTCACTTTTTTCCAGTGCTGTTGTAAGTTTGGCCACTAAATGAATGGTTGTAAGTCATTCCTCATTTAATGTTTGTTTATTTATTTATTTATTAGACTTGTTGGCTGCCCATCTCACCTAGAGTTCATTTGTCCAGCAACCTTTCAAAGTTACTGTGGCACTGAACCAAGGCACTGAATGAAGGGATTTAAAATCGAAGGGATTTAACATTTTCCCCAGAAGTTCTTGCTGTTGTACTGCCCCTGCGGTCATGTAAACAGAATTTGGGTGCTTGGCAACCAAGTTGCATTTAGGACAGTTGCAGAGTCCTGAAGTCATAGGATTTCCATTTGCAATCTTCCCTGCCGGTTTGCCACAAGTAAGATCAACGGGGAATCAAGCAGGGAGGCTCACAGTCTTCCCCAGCTTTTCTTCTCTCTCACCCACTGCATTCTCCTCCATTGCATGCACTCTGTCCTCGTCTTCCTCCCTTTTGCTCACATGCACCGCACCCTCCTTCCTCCCTTTGCTCACACACACCGTGCCCTTCTTCCCCTTATCTTTCCTCTGTTTATACCGCTCCGTAGGACTTCCCTCCCCAACTCATGCCCAGCCACACTGGGCCGCCCCTCCCTCTGTGGCACCCCAAATGCCTTACCTGGGACTGCTGCTGCTTCCTGCTTAATGTCCTGTGTGTCTTCAGGTTACAACAGCAACTGGGACTGCCTGGACTGCCATTACCGAGCAGTGTGGTCACGTAAATTTCTGCTTTACAACCACATCACTTAGTGACCGCAGTCCTAGTACCAACTGCCATCATAATTCGAGGACTACCTGTATATAAAAATGAAAAGTAGTTTATATGATTATTCCCTGTGTATTTAACCGGTCTGTTTTCCTCTCAAACACTAACATTTAAAGGCATGTTTTTGAGGGCTCTGGACCACGTAGCCCTGGAATCTCAAATGACACAATTCTGATCAAAGGCATCACACCTTTCACAAGGCCTTTTTTTGCCCCCCTTTCCTTCCACAGGACCACCTGATGTTCCCCCGCATGCTGATGAAGCTGGTGAGCCTGAGGACTTTGAGCAGTGTGCACTCAGAGCAGGTCTTTGCTTTGCGCCTTCAAGATAAGAAGCTTCCGCCACTTCTGTCTGAGATCTGGGACGTACATGAATAGACATTTTGAATGGACTGGGGAAGAGGTTGACCTCTCCCAGCAGCACCAGCAGACGCGCTACCCCCATAGCGAGTCTTTGGATTCAGCATAAGCCTTACAATGGCTGGACTGGGATCCTGCCAAAAGAATGGAGTCAAGTGAGCTTCTAAGCACTTTTGTTTTCTCCTCCTTCCCATGTAGTCGTCATCTTTCTTCCATTGCTTCAGGTTTGGTGGAGGGGGGGGAGGTCAGTCACCACCTTCTGTCTAAGTGGGAAGAGGGAGAAGTTGTAAAAAAAAAACTTTCTTCCAAAGACCGTATACTCCCTCCTGTTTGTGAAAGCAAATAGCTGTGCCCTGCATCATTAACTTTTAACAACTGCAGCGATTCCTTAACAACCAGTGGCAAGACAACCTAGGACTGTTTCTTTCTCCTTAAGGAGGGAAGAGTTTTACAGTGGAAAAAAAGAAGGAGTTGCCACATATAGTACCTGGTGTATGGGGCAAATACTCAGAAGAAATAAACTGGTCATGAAAATGAAGCATCTGACTGGTCTCCTGATACCCCTGTGTAAGAAATGTTCCCTTGTAAGTTAATTGTTATAATGCTGGGGGGGGGGGGGAGAGCTGATGAAAAAGAAGAAACCAGGATTCTGTCAGAAGAGAAAGCAAGCAGAGTTCTAAGGAATACTTGATTGAGGTCACTCATCACTCATAAAGAGTGTGTGTGTGTGTGTGTGTGTGTGTGTGTGTGTGTGTGTGTAGGCAGGCACCCACAAGTACCCCACCATGGCTGATTCCATGTTGCATGCTATGCGCTAAAGCAAGAGTGAATCACTGAAATATTCTAGTGACAGCAAAATTAGGATTTTAACTATGTGAGTAATTTGTATTTTTTTTATAAATTTAAGATAATATGTACTCATGAGGCACACCTTAACCCTCCAGTTTGTCCTCCATACCCTTTGCAACTCTATAAGTCCAAAACAATCAATCTTATTGACTGTCTCCTACAGCAACTATTCAAAGTTATGACAATGCTAAAAAAAACACCCCTTTTGTGACCAATCCCCACATTTAATGACAGTTGCAGTCATATGATTGCTATTCATGTGCTTTGCAACTATTGGGCATTTTTGCTTGTGACAAGCAGTTAATATTGTACAGTAGGGAAGGTGGAAATAAAATTGTAAGTGACATTCACATGACTTTTCACTTAGTGACTATATCGCTTAACGACTAAAGGTCGTTATGCTCAAATGCTCCAGTCATGATCATGTGATTTCCCACCTAGCAATCATGTTACCAATCCCAATTGTAGTTGCTTAGCGAGGACGAAAGAAAAAAAGGCAGTCCCGAGTTAAAACACAATTGTCTATCCTTGTTATTAACAGTGTTTTATTACATCAAAGGGTTGAGTTCACAAAACATACCTTTGCCAAAACATAGTTTATATTTAATGCCACATGCAAAGTGAATTTTTGGTTTTTGTGATCCAAGGGAAACTGGGAGCTAGCATTCTTGAATATCTGTGTGTATTTCATGTTATGGCCCAAATGTGCCCTCAGTATGGATTAGTTTAACAACATTTCCTGGACATTATGGGCTACATAAATTCTAATAAATATTTAGTGAGTGGCTTTGGGTCAGATATGATCTCTTAGCCAGGTCTACAGCCAGGTTCATTGTGATGATACTATAAAAGAAGGGAAAATCCTACATAGTTCTCTGGTTCTCTGAAGGAAGGGCAGAGTACATAAAGGAGAGTCTGAATTAGTTTCCCCAAAAAGGTTTTAATGTTATAAAATTGGTTGTTTATTGAAATGTCCTTAGAGCTAGGCATCAGACTGGTATCCATTATATGAATCTATGTTAGTGTGCTTTGGGTCCTGTGAAACAATGTCATTTATTCAGACCCAGTCATGATTCTTGTGCTCTGGAATAGTATCCCCACCCCACCCCCAAAATCTTTGTGACTGTCAGCTTGATGTTATTCCTGAAGTCTTTAAAACTAGACTGTTCTCCTAGGCCTTCTGGAGGTTAGTTGGGAGCCTTACCCATAGGTTTTGCCCAGACGTCTGTAGTCTCTTCTGCTTTACATTGTTTTATATTCTTTTAAAAGTATATATTGTAGTCAAGTAGCCTTTAAAACTAAGCAGATAAATAATTCCTAGATCCCCAGTTGGAGTCTAAGACCTATGGAGGACATCAGGTTAAGTAAGAGTGGTCCAGAACATTATATTTGCCCAATGCTGCCTTTAAATCTGCTGGCCTGGAACTTCCCATTTGCAATCAGGGAAACCCCAGCGTTGTCAGGAAAATGGGGATTTCCTCTGTGCAACTTTAAGACTGTTCACTAGAGGTCGTACAAAACCCGCAGCTTCTAACTACTCTACATTGCCAATTATATTCTGTAGCCACTGGGTTTCCCCCTTCAGCTTTGTAATGAAATGCAGAGGCAGTTTATTAGCACAATGTAATGTATATGCCTTGCCCAAATAAATGGAAAAGAAATACCCCAGAATTTCAAACAGGGAAGCTCTGTTCCTTCTCTTAATAAAATATAGTACTCAAACAATTTGGCTTTAGTTCAAGCCTTTTATGCAAATAATTACCGTTTTGCATAAAGTTAATCAATTTCTTTTGGGCTAACTATACAGGTAATCCTCCACCTATGACTGTAATGCCTCCTGTCCATTATGGTTGCAAGTCATGAGAGTTGTTAACACAGTGGATAATTAACAAGGTCAGTTAAAGTTTAGTGCTTTCACTGCCACAACACAAATAAATAAAATTTGGCTAGTGTTAAAGGTATAACTGTGAATTGTGGATAATATCTTAATTTGTTAGCCAGGTTAAGCATATCTGAACCCAGGAAAAAGGCTATCAAAAGTAAGAATATAGCAATTTAGAATATAATGTTTTCCTTTATAAATATTGAAAATGTTTGCCTTTATTTTTTAGACCAAGTTGAGCAATCAACTGTCAGCAGGCCACACATGGTCTTACTATCATTTTTTCTGCAACCCCCAGGGCCTGCCACGTTTCTTCCTGCTGCTGAAATTCAGTAGGAAATCACCAAGAGACAATGGGCTGATTTCTTTCAAAATGAGAACTGTACCAGGTATGATATGTCTCCAACAGACTTAGCAGACCCACTGAAGGCCCCCAGATGGGAAAACTGCTTCCACCCCTTCTAGGGATGTCGCCATATCCCTATTAATATTTTCTTCCTGGAAAAATGTTTATTTAAAAACAACAAAAGTTTTTCTCCCCATCATAACAGGACAGTACCTTACTGTCAGGACCCTTTTAGAGGGAGGCAATGGCACACATTTGCTTATTTGCACACATTTGGTTATGTAATTAATTTCTAAGCCTGCCCGCTTGCCAATAATTCTGGGTTATCTTCCAAAGAGTTAAGAAAAATCAATTAAAAAGTCAACTGCCTTCTTAAAAGCCAACAGGCTTGAGACCACATGGATTTCAAGAGAGGAATCCCTATCCAAAGCACAGTTCAGTGTTCAAAATAACCAGATCAATATTTTTCATCTGAGGCAATCAAACTAATCCATTAAAATAGATTCCCCCCAAAATATTTCAATCTTTCTATTTATTGAACCATTATACTTGTGACAGAACAAGAATCCTAAGATTGGAAGGGAACGCAAGCCACTGCTCAGAGCAATTTGGGCAGTGGCTTGGACAAATTGCTACCCAACCTTTGCTTAAAAACCTCCAGTGTTGGAAAACCCATAACTCCTGGAGGCAAGTGATTCCACCACTTTGTAGACTTCACAACTAAAAAAATTCTTCCTTATTTTAGGTTTGAATTTCCCTTGGTTTATCTTCCATGCATTGTTTCTTGGTCAATCCTTGAGTACTGTGGTTAATAAATCCACATCCTCTTCCCTATAAAAGTCCTTCAAGTATTGGAAAAGTGCTGTCAAATATCCCCTTAGTTTTATTTTTTATGTCAAACAATTCCCAATTCTTTTTACCATTCTTCAGAGCCTCCAAGCCTCTCACCCTCTCTGTAGCTGTTCTTTGCACTCTTTCCCTTCCATAGCATGGGATTTTGAAAACTTCAGCTGTCTTTTGAAGTGTTAGCTATCTTCATCCCTTCTATACTCTTGTCTAGGTCATGTATGAAAATATTGAAGAGCCATGAAACCAAGACAGGACCCTGGGATACCCCACTACATACCTTCCATCATGTAGATATAGATTTCTTTATTGGGTATGATTGCTCAACCAACTATGAATTCATCTGGTAGTGGAAACCATCCTTCTCATATTGTTCTATTTTATCAAGAAGGAAGTTGTGGTCAACGTTATTATATGCCTTGCTGAAGTCTAAGTGTACAATATCTATACCATTCCTTTGGTTTACTGATCTAGTCAACTTTTTAAAAAACTAACTAAATAAAAATATGATCTATTTTAAAAAATCCATGCTGGCTTCTAGCATTATCATGTTCCTTTCTAAGTGCTTGCTAACCCACTACTTGATTATTTTTTCCATGATTTCTCCAAATATTCGTAATGGAAGTCAATAAAACACATTGATGTAGGATACTCTGCTGACAAGGAAACATTCAAATTAATATGCTATTTCTGGGCTTTCCAAAATCTTTGAAATACTCCGGCCTCTGCTGCAGTTATCTCAGTCTTATACCAGGAAACTTGCTATGATAAGTGTGATTCTGGTGACAGCCATTAGATGGGATAAGGTAAAAATTTTTTGAGATGAGTCCAAGTAATCCCTTGTTTTACTTGAAAATAAACCCTCAGTTTTGGTTCTAACAAAGTTTATAATTACAGAAGGAATTGGCAGAGTTAATTATCTCATACTGGTTTCAAAGAGAGCAGAAAGATGATTGTATTTATTTACTTTCTGCCTTTATTATTTTTATAAATAACTCAAGGCAATGAACACACACAATATTACTTCCTTCTCCTATTTTCCCCACAACAACAACCTCGTGAGGCTGAGAGAGAATGATTGGCCCAAAATGCCCAGCTACTTTTCAGGCCTAAGGCAGGATTAGAACTCAGTCTCTTGGCTTCTGGTGCCTTAACCACTAGACTAAACTGGCTATCATATTAACTCATGTTCAAAACCTTGCAGAACTCCCCCCCCCCATCTTCTTTCACTTTCCTATTTCTCATCTTGCTGTGGCTATCAAACCTTTCAATCAATTTGTGGGAACCTTTTATGAAAAACCACTGTTTTAAAAATGACATGAAAAAGTAGATTTCCAGATGACCCAGTTTTGATGAAAAGCCTGGTTAAAATAATTTTACGCTGATACCAAAAGTTATCACATGGGTCTTTTCTTTTCTTCTGTCCCTCCATCAATTAACTTTTTTAACTAAGTAAATGTTTAGTTTGTTTTAATTACCACAACATATCAAAAGTTGGGTTTGTTTCATTGTACAATCACTTTATCTTTTTTTTCCCCCTGTCAGGCTGTACTTTTCCGTATTTTACTCCTTAAATAAATAAATGACTCATGTGAGAACGAAGTACAACTATACT